AAAAATAAAGAAAAATATACTAAATATATAATGAAAAGAAAAATTTTAGATTATATATTATAAACTATTTAAAAAATAAAGAAAAATATACACTAAAGTCTACTAAATACATAATAGTTTCCTTCTATGTGTATAATGCTTTCAATACTTAAGTTAAAAAATAAAAGTTGTAAAGACACTTTAAAAAAAAAAAAGAGAGGAGGGTGACCGGAAACCCTCCTCTCTCGAAACCGAAACCCTATCAACACAAGACTCTTATCTCTTTATCTTCTTTTCCCCAGCCACAGAACAACAATATTTACAAGAGGAGGGTGACCGGAAGTTGCGAATGGATCAAAGCTCAGTTGGGTCGGATCCAAGAAGAAACCCGATGACTCTCTACCATACACGAGGTCAGATTTTCTATCTCTATCTCTATCTCTATCTCTATCTCTATCTCTCTCTCTCAGTTTGGAATCTGACTGTGTTTTGAAAAAGGTGAACCCACGGCGGAGCTTCTCTTCCTCTGAAGCGGAGACGGAGAAGACAGAGGAAGAGGACGATGGTGGTGAAGATATATGATGGTGTGCGACATTCAATACCACCACCAAAAGCTCGGTACTTTCTCCTCTTAGTTCTTTCTTAGGGTTTCGATTTGGGAGATTTTCAGGTTTGGGTTTCGAGTTGTCTTGACAATCTGTTTATGTGTCTAGGGTTTTGATTTTGGTTGACTATTTGTTTCTGTATCAAGAGTCTCGATTATGACTATCTTGACAATTTATTCCTGTCTTGAGTCTCTGTCTTTTATATCTGATTAATCTTCTCTCTGGTCTTCACTATCTGGTTTATCTTGTATCTGATTTATCTTGTCCCTGGTCTTGATTATCTTATTTATCTTGTCTCTAATTTATCTCGTCTCTAATTTATCTCGTCTCTGTGTTATTGTCTTGTAATATTAGCTAGTTTATATTGTTAATAGTCTCTGTGTTACGATTTTCTCTCTGTTTGTGATGGTTCTTTGTGTTGTGAGTCAGGTGGAGGAGGAGAGAGCTCGGAGACAGTGTCTGAGAGTGATGATATGTTGTTGTATAGAGGTTTTAAAAAGGTGAAGGAGAGAGGCTGCACAGCTAAGGATCATAGAGATCTATCGATTTGCTATTGACTGATCAGTCAATCTGAGGATTCGTTGGATACAAATCATTGTGTGTTATGGATCATAGAAATCTATCGGTTTGCGAACTAATCAGAGATTTGTTTGATCTGATGGATTCACTCAATTATGGATTCAAGATCTAATGCTTTCTGATACGTTTAATTTCACAGAAGGACGAGGATTGGTGCGGCGGCTGCGGTGACTGCATCAGGAAAGATGCCTCTATGCATCTAACTTTGCAAGATCATCAGCTTCTGGTGCCGCCTCTAAGAGTTGGATCACTGGACTCTTGGCTCTTCCTGCTGCAGGTTTAACCAAACACATTGTTTACTTTTGGTTAGAATAGGATTATGATAAAAGTTATTGACATATGTTTTCTTCTATTGTTTCTGTTATAGCTTTCATGGTTTAAGATCAGGAGGTTTTTTCTGCTGAGGTAAATGATAATCATCATTTTTCTCTCCTAAATATATCTGTGATTTCATCATCCTGATGTTCTTGATCGTTTCACAGATGGAACACACTTTCATTGCGATCAAGCCTGATGGAGTGCAGCGAGGACTGGTAATCTTTTTTATTTTATTTTATTTTAATATATAGTTGGTCTTGAATTGGTCTTATCATGTGTATGTATGTAAATCTTATTATCTCATGAACCAACAGATATCAGAGATCATTTCTTGATTTGAATGAAAGGAATTCAAGCTTGTTGGTATCAAGGTCGTTGTTCCTTCCAAGGATTTTGTACAGAAGCATTACCATGATCTCAAGGAAAGACCTTTCTTCAATGCCTCGTGTGACTTCCTTAGCTCTGGTCCTGTTATCGCCATGGTAAACACAAAACTCTCTCCTATCTGTAATTTGATAGTAAGCTCAGAGAATAATTTGATAAAAACAGAACATTGGCTCCTTGTAGGTATGGGAAGGAGAAGGTGTGATCAGATACGGACGTAAACTGATTGGAGCCACCGATCCTCAGAAATCTGAGCCTGGGACTATCCGAGGAGATCTTGCTGTTGTTGTTGGGAGGTATGTTCTATTTTCCTTTTTGGTATTCGTATTATTATTAGGACATTATAAAGATTTGGTTTGGTAATTGAAATGTGAATTTGCGCATCAGGAACATAATCCATGGAAGTGATGGACCAGCGACTGCAAAAGATGAGATCAATCTGTGGTTTAAGCCTCAAAAACTCGTCTCTTACACCAACAACGCTGAGAAGTGGATCTATGGCGACAACTAAACACCCTCTTTCTCTCTTCTTTTGACATCCAATAAAATTGTTCTTGTTCCTTTACCCCAAACAATAAAACAAAAAACAGGTATTACGCATACAAACACATTCCCGGTTTTGTGTTTTCTCGGTGAACTCAGTTATCAGAGTAAAAGTAATAATAAGTATGAGAATGAGATTATTGGATACTGAAATTTTTGTTTGTTTTCCATGGAAGATGAAGATTCTTATCTTCTATATATTAGCTTGCGTTCTTTTTTGAGAAAAAGTTGTTAAATGTAAGAGCACTTCAATGGGGGATTCTATCCCATTGAAGTTATAAAGATGCATATGTGTATGTGTTATATATGTGTATTTAGATGTGGGATCTACAAAATAGTGTAGAATCTCTTCCAAAAAGTTCTTATTAGAGAGATTTTAAAGAATTCTTTGATAGAGTTCTACACTATTTTGTGGATCGCACACCTACATACACATATATAACACATGCTTTTTAGAATCCCAATGGATCGAACTCCTCATTAGAGGTTCTCTAATATACTATTATGGCTTAGTGTTTCTTACAACTTATTGATTAGCTTTTTACATACAAATACAAAGATGCATTCAAACACAGGTTGACAAAGTGACAGATATTAAAGAAAGTATGCCTTTACAAAATTAGAAACAATCCTTTGATCAAAAAAAAAAACTTAGTAACAATCTTGAAGGTAGTTGAACCATTTCCCGTAAAACAATACGGTTTACATAATTAGCAAACCAAAATTTTATGTTTGATAAAATTATATCGTAGACTTACCAGTATATCTATAATTATTAGCTAACAACATAGATAAATAAAAAATTTGATAACTTCCTAACTATAACAGATTATCTTCTGAAAAACATTCAAGACCCTTATGATTAATTAACACACACTTTTAGAGATTTTTTTTTTGAAAAAAACTTAATGAATAATACACAAATCCACTTTTGATAGATTTTTCTAGGTAGACCATATATTCAGTCTACAAAAGTGTAGACGTTTTATTCAGTTTACATTTGGTAGACTGCAAATTAGGTCTATGTTTAGATTGGTTTTTGCAATTGCCAAATTCACGGGTTACTTTCTGTGTTTGAAAAAAGATGTTTATTTTATACAAGTAGACTTCTTTTTTAGTCTAAATTTTTAAAAAGGTTAGTTTTGCAATTGACGAGAATTCGTTAAGTGTTAGAAGTAGACTTACTATGCAGTCTACATTTTTAAATTTGTTTGAAAGAGTTTAGTTTTGCAATTGACCAAAGTTGATTTTTTACTAGTAGACAAAACTAAATGTCTACGTAACTGTAGACTGCAGTAAAAGTCTACACTATAACCCGACAGGTTAGTTTTGCAATTGACCAACATAAAATAGTAGACTTCATATGTAGTCTACTTATTTTTCCTAAGATTTGTAGACTGCAAATGAAGTCTACACGTAAAGTAAGTTTTGGTCAGTTTCTAAACATTTTAGTCAAATACAAAAGAAACCTATTCAACGAAGTCAAAGTTTTGGTCAAATGCAAAACTGACCTTCAGTAGACTTCTATAGCAGTCGACAAAGTGTAGACGTCCAAGAAAGTCTAATATGGTAAGTCAAAAGTTTGGTCAAATGCAAAACTAACCTCTTTTATGTAGATTTCTTAGTAAGTCTACCAATATTTTGTTTTGTTTTTGGTTTCAAAGGAAAAGACGTTGACGTACTTGTAGGTTTACATTACAAAAAGTATTATTTTGGTCAATTGCAAAAGTAACTTGTGCGTTGACAAGTAGACTGCATCGTAAGTCTACACGTAAGTGTAGACAATACAGTCTTCTTTCGCGATACAGATCAGAGATATGACGAAAAGCATGTAAATAGTTACCATTTTCCAGTTTAAAGCTTGTTTCCAAGCTTTTCCACCGTCCAGAATCCAAATATGAGCAAAAGAAGCACCTTTTACGATTCACTTGTGAATAAAATCGAAACTATGAAGTTTGTGTTTATGAAAATGAGAGTTATGAGAATTTTTTAGATGAAAATATAGAGGAAATGAGAGGAAATGAGAGGAAATGAAGTATTATTGGTTTAGAAAGTGAAATAAGTGGTTGACAATTCATATCTTGAGCTTAAAGACCTCATTAATGGTGGTATTTGGTGGTTTCAAATATTGATGGCAATGACATTGTGGTAAATAAGGAGAAATGTTTAGGGTGTAATAGGTTTTTGCTCATTTTCGAAATTTATAAAATATTTAATAATAATGGCAATTTTGTAAATAGTTTAGAAACATGAGAAGGATTAGGTTTTTCAAGAGTGAATAGTATGTACAAAAAAAGTGTTGGTTTTGGGTTTGACTACAATTCTTAGGTTAGTTTTGCAAAACCCCCTTTCTTATTTATCTTGTTTTTAATAATTTTATGTATAATTTATTATATATTAAATAAATTATATTAATAATATTATATTTTTAGAAAATAAAATAATTTTATGTATTATATTGTAATCTAAAAATATATTTTTTAATTATATAAACTAAAAATTAAGATATAAAAATTATAATTAAATATAAATTATGCATGTTAATTTGTCAACTTCGCCATGATTTGAGTTAATATTGTTTATTTGCCATGCTTTAATAATTTTATCTATCATTTATTATATAATAAAAGAGAATTTATATTACAATATTATAGTTTTAGAAAATAAGATCATTCGTATGTATTATATTGTTATCTTGAAAATAAAATTTTCAAATTATAAATTAAGATATAAAAATT